ATTCAATTTTAAAAAAGAGTTTGAATTTATATATTTAAATTTCTAAAAAAACAAACACGTAGGCATCAAATTAATTGTTTGAATGAAATGCTGCAACGTTTTCATAAAAAAGATAGAATGTCCTTTTTTAAATTCTTATTTTTGCACACATGCGTCAATTGAATTGATTCAAATAAATATGAATTAAATGTAAGTATAAAACAAGTATGATTTCGTATATTCAAATTTCCAAAAATACACACGTATGCATTTAATTAATTGCTCCAATGAGATACTATGACTTTTTCACACATTCATTTTCGCAAACATCTTAGATGCATCAACTGAATTGAATGCAAGATTAAAATAAGGTTTGAATTCGTATATTTAAATTTTCAAAAATACACATGTATGCATCTAGTTAATTGTTTCAATGAGATACGGTAAATTTTTCATTATAAAAGTGATAGAATGTTAACTTTTACATTCTCATTTTCTCAAACACCTTGGATACATCACTTGATATGTTTAAGAGAAATATGAATTAATTGCAAGATTAAAACAATGTTTGAATTCATATATTTAAAATTTCAAAAATATACATGTATACATCTAGTTAATTGCCCCAATAAGATATTGTGACTTTTTCGTAGATTAGTGACAAAATCACTTTTTCACATTCTCATTTTGGTAAAAACTTTAGATGCGTCAATTCAATTGATTCAAAGTTAATCTTTCATATGTATTGACGTAAAACATGATTTGAATTTATATATTTAAATTTCAAAAAATGCACACGTATGTATATAGCTAATTGCTGTAATGATATACTATGACTTTTTTAGATAAAAGTGACAAAATGTCATTTTTTTTACATTCTCATTTTTGCAAATACCCTACATCCATCAATTGGATTGATTCAAAGTTTTTCTTTCTCATATGTATTAACCCAATCTATTTCCTCTCAAAATCAACAATGTTATTTTAAAAAACATTTCAAGTCACAATAGCAAAATCAACAATAAAGAAACTTCATAAATGCAAATTATTTATATTATAAGGTTCAAACTAAACCTAATCACAAGATTCAAAGAAAAGTAGCATAGACAATGCACTAAGATGGTTAGAATTTGTAAATGGAATTTTATTCAGCTCGAAATTGATATTTACGTCTATTGCCTTCGTAATCTATGCAAAATGATAGAATTAGGGAACTATGTAAACAAAAAATCGAAAAAATAAAAAGACAGTAATTTTTGTCTGGGTATTTCTAGATTTGGGGAAGAAAACTTTGAAAATGGTAGTTGAAGCAATCTTGACCTTGTTTGTACTTAATTTGAGGAAGATTTCTTCTTTTTCCTTTGATCTTTCGAGCTTAGAGGGCTGATTTTTGACAAACTGCTGTGCATTAGGCTTGAGTGTAAAGTACACGTTCAATTTTAACTATTTGCTCTTTAATCCAAGCTTATAATGTTTTTTCAAAACTATTCCAAAATATAGGGTATTTGTGTAAGGACCCCGAGGCTAAAAGATATTTATACCACAATTTTTAATAACTATACTACATTTTGATAAAATGAATGGTTCATTACCTTTACAAATTATCGCATTTTATGTCTCAACATTTTTCATTGCATTTTTATTCTCAAGTTAACATAAACTATTCATGATCATGGTTTCTCAAAAAAAACATATTTAAGATAGAGTAAAGAGACACATCTACCCATCATATTTTTGAACAAGTATAACAGATACTATCGCAAAAATGAGATTAAATATTTGGCCCTAATTTTGAAGTATAGAAACTATATTTTTGAATGAAAATCAATTAAGAATGTGATGAAAAAAATGTTAAGTGTGATTATGACTAAGGATAACGACCCTTATCGTCATTAAAATGTGGTATGTTTATAAAAAAA